CATTTGAATAGTAGACTTTTTCTTTTTTCTTTCTTTTCTTTTATCATTTTTACATTTACTTACATGTGTATACATTGTCTGGGCCACCTCCTTCATGCTCTCCCCATTCCCTGCTTCAGGGCAGATCCTGCTCTGCCCTCTTCTTCTCCAAATTTATTGGAGAGAAAACATAAGAGATAATAAGAAAGGCATATTGTTTTGCTAGTTTGAGGTAAAGATAGCTATACAGAGAGATTCCTAGCATTGCTTCCATGCACATGTGTATTGCAACCCACATTGGTTCATCTCTACGAGATCTTTTCACTACTTCCTGGTCCCCTTCCCATAGTGGCCTCTGTCAGTTTAAGATTACTATATTCACTCCTTTACAGTGAACACATCAACCACATTCAAGCTTTAGGTTTCATTCCCTTTCCCTATTCTCCCGTGTGTGTTCTCCCCTTAGTGTGTGACCCATGTCCAATGATATTACTGCATTTCTTTTATATCTATAATCTGCATATGAGGGAGAACATGCAATTTTTGGCATTCTGAGTTCAGTAACTTTGCTTAAGATGATGTTCTCCAGTTCCATCCATTTACTTGTGAATGGCAAAATTTCATTCTTCTTTGTGGCTGAATAAAATTTCGTTGTGTATAAATACCACATTTTCTTAATCCATTTGTTGGTAGTGGGGTATCTTGGCTGTTTCCATAGCTTTGCTATTGTGAAAAGTACTGCAGTAAACATGGTTGTGCAGGTGCCTTGGTAATAACCTGAGTTGCATTCCTGGCAGTAGTATTGCTGGATCATATGGCAGATCTGTGTAGTTTTCTAAGAAGCCTTCATATTTTCCAGAGTGGTTGTACTAGCTTACATTCCCACTAGCAGCGCGTGAGGGTTCATTTTTCCTTGTATCCTCACCACCATTTGTTTTCGGTGGTGTATTCCTATTCTAACAGGATTGAGGTGGAATATTAGTGTGGTTTTGATTTGCATTTCCTTTTTGACCAGGGATGGTGAGCATTTTTTTCATGTTTTTTTTTTTTTTGGTCATTTAGACTTCTTCCTTTGAAAAAGTTCTTTTTAGTTCAGTTGCCCACTTCTTTACTGGTTCATTAATTTTTGGGGAGATTAGTTTTTTAAGCTCCCTGTATATTTTGGTTATCAGTTATCAGCAAATATTTTCTCCCACTTTGTGGATGGTCTCTTCAGTTTAGAGACCATTTCTTTTGTTGTGCAGAAGCTTTTTAATTTCATGTAGTCTTATTTGTCCACCTTGTCTCTTAGTTGCGGGCTGCTGGAGTTCTACTTCCTCAGTAGAACTCCAGCACATATTGTTTCCAGGGTGTCCCCTGATCTTTTTGTGTACTAACTGCAAGGTTTGGGGTCTGATATTAAGGTCCCTAATCTACTTTGAGTTGATACTAATAGAGTGTGACAGGCATGGATCTAGTTTCAGTTTTCTGCAGATAACCACTCTTCCCATCAACATTTGTTTTAGAGGTTGTCTTTTCTTCATTGCATGCTTTTGGCACCTTTGTCAAAAATAAGGTAGGCATAGCTGTGTGGATTCATATCTGGTTCCTCTATTCTGTTCCACTGGTCTTCATATCTGTTTTTGTGCCAGTATCATGCTGTTTTTATTGCTATGGCTCTGTAGTGTAATTTGAAGTTGGGTATTGTGATACCTCCAGCATTGCTCTTTTTGCATACTATTGGTTTGGCTATTCATGGTTTTTTTTTTTATTCCAAATGAACTTTAGGATAGAGTTTTCAATCTCTGTGATGAATGTCATTGTGTTTTTGTGGGAATTGCATTGACCATATAGATTGCTTTCGTTAGTATAGCCACTTTTACAATGTTGATTCTGCCAATCCATGAGCATAGAAGATCTTTTCATCTTCTGTAGTGTTCCTCAATCTCTTTCTTTAGTGGTTTGTAGTCTTCCTTGTAGAGGTCATTCACATCCTTTGGTAATTTTATTCCCAGACATTTGATTTTTTTTGAGGCTGTGTTGAACCATCCCTGAATCCTTGGGATGAAGCTGACTTTGTCAGGGTGAATGATCTTTCTAATATGTTACTGGATTCAGTTTGCTATTATTTTATTGAGGATTTTTGCATTGATGTTCATTAAGGAGATTGGCCTGTAGATCTCCTTTTTGGGATGTATCCTTGTCCAGTTTTGGGATGAGTATAATGCTGGCTTTGTAGAATGAGTTAGGGAATTTCTTCCCTTTCTGTTTTGTGGAAAAATTTAAGGAGTGTTAGTATTAGTTCTTTTTTGAAGATCGGTTAGAATTTAGTTGAGAATTTGTCAAGTCCTGGACTTATCTTTTTTGGGAGACTCTTTATTGGTGCTTTAATTTCTTTACATGTTATAGATGTGTTTAGGTGGTTAATATCCTCTTGGTTCAGTTTTGGATTGTCATAAGTATCTAGAAACTTGTCCATTTCTTCCAGATTTTCCAACTTAACGGAACATATGTTCTCAAAGTAGTTTCTGATCATTCCTTGGATTTCTTTAGTGTTTGCTGTTATCTTTCCTTTTTCATTTCTAATTTTACTAATGTGGATCTTTTCCCTCCTCATTTTAGTCACATTTGCCAGGGGCTTGTCAATCTTGTTTATTTTTTCAAAGAACCATGTCTTTGTTTTATTGTTCTTTGTATATTTTCTCTTTTTTTGGTTTGTTTCATTGATTTTGGCCCTATTTTTATTATTTCTCTCCTTCTGCTTATTTTGGATTTTGCTTGCTCTTGTTTTTCTAGGAGTTTGAGATGTAGCATTAAGTAATTTATTTGCAACCTTTCTGTTCTTTTAATAGATGCAGTCATGACTATAAACTTTCCTCTTAAGACTGCGTTTGCTTGTCCCATGGGTTCTGTAGGTGGTGTTTTCATTTTCATTAGTTTCCAGAAACCTTTTCACAGTAGCAACAAAAATGAAAGTTACCCAATAATAAGTCTCAAACATCATTATTAGCAGAATTCTTAAATTTGGTTGAAGAACATAAAATATAGATACATGTTGTTATCAATTAGAATTGATTTTCTATGGTAACTATTTTATCTAAATCATTGTGTCAATACATTTCAATGACAATCCTCTAATTGATTTCAGGGCTATCTATAAAATTCCTGAATATTTCATTAAATAATGAACAATTAAATATTAAATACAATTATATTTTAAAAATCATAAGTGTTAGAGACATGCTTGATTAGAAGCTTAAGTGTAAAAGAAGGGATTTAAATATCAATAAAGGCCTAAAGACCTTAATGCTTTTCATGGGACTGATTGCATTTTCTTCGATGAATGAAATATGTGGGAATTGTGCTTGGTGCAATTCTCACCTTGCCTGAAAAAGACTGAATTTACCTGGGAAACAACTCTAAAGTGTTTCCAGTCCAGAGTGAAAACTGTAGTAATAGGGCCTCAAGAACAGCCACAAAGGGGTGAGGATGGCCCACCCTGGGGACTCAAATTCTGCATTTTTTCTAAAAGCCTATGAAGTTCCATTACCACACCCACTCCTTACTATCTCACCTCTAGGGCTGTTTCTCTTGTCTTAGTTGAGCCTATCTCTGCCTCCTGAATGGAGCCAAGCCAGAGGGACCTTCTTTCCTCTATACTGATGGAAAATATGTTTATGTTTCTATTCTTAGGAGTTCCTAAACACTTGCCCATGTTGTCTGACGATGTCATCTCCATATGCTTCTGCTCTAAATGTTGGAAATTTGTGAGAAATTTCAAGATTTATTAGATTCATATTTTTTGCTTAGTATTGCTTCAGGGGACTGAGAGTCAGATCAGGCCCATACACATGAATGTCCCGTGTCTTTCTCTGTTGTATCTGAGGCTAATGGTATTGTTTCTTCTTCTACCTTTGTTGTTATTCCTGACTTTATTTCACTGAAATGAGTGATTGTGCCATGATATTTATTCACTTTCTTTCCAAAAGGTGTGATGTCCTTCATATACCTTGTTGTCTGCTAGTGATGGTCATGCAGCAGAAGTTGGTGGGAGGTGAGGGACATGGATAAAATTTGAAGGTTTTCAGTGCTAATGGAGGATCCTGGAGGATTAGGAGAAGATTGAGGAGTATACTCACTGTGTAATGAATACATTACAGTATAGCACTATACTGCTATACTATACTGCTATACTGTTGTATAGCACAATGCTACACATACAGATGAAGTAGTCTGAAATTTACTGAATAGTTACATTAATACTGCATCAATTATGGCTGAAAGCACACAATTTCTGAACTGTTAAAATGTTATGCATGAGCTAGATACATAAGTGAATAAAATAAATTATTGAATATGGGACAAGGGATTTTTATCCAAATAAATGTGTGTTTAGGGATAACTTTGTGCAAGCACATGCATGAACAAATTTGTAAAAAGTAAAAGGATAAGGAAATATTATTCTTAGTATAGGACATTTGAGGAATGTCCATGTCATGTTCTGCATGACATTAATATATAAATCTGGAGGCAGGAAGAACTATGGACAAGATAGGCATAGGCCTGTGTACAAAATTCCTTTTGAAGTGTCTATAATATCTCAGGGCTTAGGATGTTTATAGACTGGTTTAGATTCTTGTTTCCTTTTATGCACATTAAAACTTTGCAAGGTACCTTGCCCAGGATTCAAGTAGCCAGACTAAAATAAGCAGATAGGGTCAAAACAGCAGAACAATGCAAATAATATCTATTTATTTGCATGTTAGCACATGAGATCAGCTTTTCCTCCATCATCAGCTGGAAAGTACTGTAGGCTACCCTGTATGGAAGGAATACCATCCTGGATGAAGCTCAGTGGAACTGGTGGCAAAATGCATTTCCATGAAGAAAGCTAGGAACACAGTCTTTGGAAAATCTTGATGTTTGCTTATTTTTGAGAGATTCAGAAGTGAAAATGTTATGAACATTAAAGAGACAAATACAGCATTTCAAGTGAATGTGTTAACAGCTCTTCAACACTGACATCAGAAATATTACTGACAATGGGTGGTGTCTTTGACAGCACATTTACAATCATTTTTGTTTTGGAACTTGTAATTGGAAATTTAGGAAATGGATTCATAGCCTTGGTGAACTGCATGGACTGGGTCAAGAGAAGAAAGATGTCTTTAGTTGACCGAATCCTCACTGCTTTGGCCATCTCCAGAATTGCTCTGCTCTGGTCAGTAATCATAACTGTATTGTTATTTTTGCTATTCCCAGCTCTAGGTAAAACTGAAACAATGATGAGAATGATCAATATCATTTGGTTAGTGACCAACCATTTTAGCATCTGGCTTGCTACAATCCTCAGCATCTTTTATTTTCTCAAAATAGCCAATTTTTCCAACTCTATTTTTCTTTACATGAAGTGGAGAGTTAAAAAAGTGGTTTCAGTGACATTGCTGGTGAGCCTGGTGTTCTTGTTTTCAATTACTGTACAGATGGGCACATATATTGGTTACTTGATTAATGAAAATGAAAGAAACATGTCTTACAGAACCAGGTCAAGTAACCCTGCAGAATTGTACAGAGTTACTTTAATTCTCACCACTGTTTACATTTCCATACCATTTACTTTGTCCCTGACAACTTTTCTCCTGCTAATCTTCTCCTTGTTGAAGCATATGAAGAAGATGCAGCACAATGCCAATGGATCCAGAGATGCCAGCACCATGGCGCACATAAAAGCCTTGCAAAATGTGACGGTCTTCCTCTTATTGTACTCCATTTTCTTTCTGTCTCTTATTGTACAAGTTTGGAGTACCAAATTCCTGGTGAAAAATGAGACCATCTTCTTTTGCTTGGCTGCTGGATTGACTTTTCCTTCAATCCACTCTTGTGTCCTGATTCTTGGAAACAGTAAACTGAGACAGTTGTCTCTTTTGGTGCTGTGGTGGCTAGGGTGCAGGTTCAAAGATGTGGAAAACTCGGGTCCCTAAAACATATTGGAGATCATCTTGCATATTCTAGAGTTTAGCTCACGAGAAATTCTCCTGTATTATAAATGTTTAATTTTCCAATAATCTTCTGTTCTCTATTACTTTTAAACTTTAGACAGGTATGTTTGGAATAAGTACTGTCCTAATATATTCACACTAGCAGAATATCTAAAAGCTTGTTTATTAATACATTATATAAAAAAGGATATCATTATAAACCCTCTACCATAGTAACTCTTCAAAATAACATAAATTTTTGTTCATCATCATGTCTTGATATTTAAAAGTGATTATCCTATAATATATGAGATGTGTGCATGTATGGATGTGAGAAACACAAAAAAACATACAATTCCACCCACATTAATAAAATTTCACAATCTCTAATACTTGGGTAAAATTTCAGAGAGAAGATGAAAAATAACATATAGATTCAAAAAAACAATGCAATAAATACAGTGTGTAATACAGGACCAATGTAGAAACATTTTTAATAATCCCAGAATCAGAAGGCAAATGTGTCAGAATTACTTTATATAATGATTTCAGGATCAAGAATTCTTGAAAAACATGGATCATTGTTATGAAAATGTAATTTGCATTTGGAAACATGTTGTATTGTTATACGTGGTTTTCGAGTATGTATCATATTCTATTTTAATATTTAAGCACAAGTATACTTTATCAGGTTTTATGTAAGTTTTATAAAGCAGCAATTTTCTATTGGTCCTTTTTAAGACTTATGTCATTATGTACTCATCTTCTGTTAGGGTTGAAAACGAGCAAATTTAGAGAAATTTAGAGTATTTTAGGAGTTGACAAAATATAATTATCATGACTCTTCTTATGATTGTATATTTTTAATAGTTACTGTATGGCCGAAATGAATGGCACATTAAATAGTAAATGAATCCATTGAATGGCTGAAAAACTTGTAAGATTTAGGTTTATGTGAGCTATAGAGAGGGAAACCTGGACATGTGCACTGAATTCATTGCTACTGAATCTTCAGCAGGACAAAATCTTGTGTATTTTAAGAAATGAGAAATATTTTCAGACTTATTATCACAAATGAATTTCTTCAAGCAATGTATTTGTGTTTGGAATAGATTTTTTTTCATTCCAATAATGTTCATTCATTCATTTGTTGAAAAATTATAATTTGAAAATATTCTGTGTGTCTTTTAAAGACATTGTAAAGAGAAACAGAGATATGAAATAAAAAATGTGCACCTGTAATAGGTAGCCAGTAAAAAGAGGACATCATAAGAATCTGTGGTAAGTAATCTGTGTGCTTCATTCATTTTTAACACTCACATATATGTAATGCTATTTTTCATGTGAAGAGACAAGTTTACAAGATATCACAAGTCTTACCTGTGGTGCATGAAGATTTTAGCACAGAACTAGACTGGCAACCTCCAGGAGAGAAAGGTTCTCACTCAAACTCATGAAACAACAACAGGAAGAGAATGTTCCTCGTCATGTCTGGATTCTGATGGACATAAACTGCAAAAGAAAATGCAATTTTGGTGCTATAGTAAATGTTCTGATTTTTTCTAGCATGTTTGATACCCGACCAATGTGGACAGAGATGGGTACAGCAGATATTTTGTTTGTTTGTTTCTTCTTTAGAGTCCAATTTCTTAACTGAGCTACCACATGTACTTCACATTTCACAGATAGAAAATGATACATCTATAATTATTTATAGTGATTGTTTTATTGCATTTTAGTTATTCATATTTATTTCATTTTTTTGACTTACATAGTGACATGGCTTGAAACTTCCAAGTTGTAAGTAATTACATTGGTAACTGGTATCCCTGTTTGTAAATGGAGAATGTTCCTGTGATTTACCAGTAAGCGTTATGCTCATTTCAGCCTTGAGACAACAGCTTTTGAAAACTATCTTCAAAGAGAGTCTTTTTTTTTAATTATTTAAAAGCCACTACACTGCACAATGAATACATGTTATAAAAACAGACCAAAATACCGCATTAGTTTGTGGTTTTCTAAGAGTCCTTGAACTTTGCCTGGAGTGATTGCAAAAAAAAAAAAAAAGAATGTGTAGTGTAATATATGGAGATAAGTGGAATGAGTAGTTCTATATATGGAGATAATTATGCATTTCCCCCTCCTTTACATATGCTACAGTCTACATCCACAGGCATCCATTTTTATCTGCTCAGAGTAGGTTCAAGGTCCCCTTGGTTACCCACACTACATGGATGCACAGTTTCCTTACATAAAATGTAAAATCATAGAAGAATTGTACATTAACTATACTTTCAATCACCTCTAAATCATTTAGAACACACAATATAATGTAAATGCTAGATAAAAAGTTGTCACACTCTACTGTTTTAGGGAGTAATGACAAGAAAAAGTGTGTGTAAATTCAGGCAAAAGCTTTTCAAATGATTTTTAATCCCCAGTTGGTTGAGTCTGCATCTGTTTATCTTGAGACGTGGACTTGTAATAACGAGGGAAGAAATGAATGCAGTAGAAATTTTAAATAAAGTATTGGTATGGTAAAAAAACAAAGGATTTTTTTCTAAAAAAAGAGTAACAGAGAGAAGGCACATATAGATGGTATTAGAAACAATACCACAATGATTCATAGAAAACAAAAGTTAAAGTATATAACTCACTTATTCAAATTATGAAATGCATATAAATTACACATGTGTGGGGCATGGATTTTATCGTGTGCTGCTGGAATTTGGTGGAACACAGCACTGAGTCATCAGCAGGTTTTCCCAGCAGACCTTGAAATAGTTTTACCTCTATTAAGACTATGTATGTGAGCAGCTTTTCCAACACCCAGAGGAAGATTTATGTCCAGGTCTAGACAGTAATTTCCAGCCAGTTCTGGTGGTTTGGCTCAAAGAGCCATGGCCATGTTACCTCCTTAGGGTCATGTTCTTAGCTTTGTCGTGTGTGTGTGTGTGTGTGTGTGTGTGTGTGTGTGTGTGTGTGCAGACTCCAAGTTGTTTGCCACATGTTGCCCCAGGGATAATAGCTGTTCCTTACAGCTGCAATTTTGTTCTGTCGTGTCATTCTTACTCCTTTCTAGTCAATCTCTCACTATTCCTGCCACAGCATTAAGTTAGTAATTTGTTATGTTAAACATTTGCTTGTCAATTTTCTGTGTTGTCTTTCTCCTTCTTGTACATAGACCATTGATATGTTTTGTGATATTAAACAATCACATTTTAGATTGAACCATTTGGAAAGAAATGATACTAACCCCATAAAAAGTGTGTACTAAAAATATAGGAATGTCATGCTTAACCCTCAAATGTAGCATCTTTTACACTGATACCAATATTAGGATATGATTTGTATTAGAGTTACTAGCCTCTGAATGAGGGAAGACATAAAAAACAAACCCATGAAAATTTGAATACAAGTGAAATACAGTTGTTGTTGCACAAAGAATGTTTAGCAATGGATTATACAATATGAGTCACAAAGAAATATCCCATTACTTTATCAATGAATTTAAGTAAGCTTAGGATAATTATCAAATATAATATTAAGAATTAACTAGTCACTAGTACTAATCAGAAAATGACTTTTGAAATTAGACAGTGTCACAGAACCCACAAAAACTACAAGGTGCTTGGAGATAAATCTTACATATTATATTTTGCTGAGACATTTATTGAATTGAAAAATCTAAAACTGAATCTGAATCAATGTAGATAAGTACCATATTCTTGAATAGACTGAATCAGTTTGCTAAGGTAGTCCTATGTTCCAATCTTTGTGTTCAATTGAATTCCAATCAAAATCACAATGGATATTAGAAATGTCCATAAAATTTCTGAACATTTTTAGTAAACAATGAACATTTAAATAGTAAGTATAGTCAGCAGGGAAGCCTTTGTCAAAGATCCAAGCAAGAGATACAACTTTGGTAAATACAATGGGCCAAAAAGCCTGAGTGTGAAAGAAGGGGATTTAAAGTACTGATAAATTCTAAAGACTCATTTATTAAATATTTTAATTAAAATGTTGTACTGGTGGTTTCATTGTGACATTTCCATGTATGCATACAACATACCCTGGTTTGGTTCAACCCCTTCAATATTCACTCTTTCTCTTCTCCCTTCTTAAAATGCCTTCAACAGGTTTAAATGTTCATACATGTGTACAAAAGACACTGAACATATTTATCTTCCTTTACCATTTTCATTTATTCTCCTCCTCCCTCTTCTTGCTATGACCTGTTTTATGCTCCTGTCCTTCATTGTTTTAGGGTTCATTCATTGTCCAGTGGGGTTTTGCCTTGGCATTTTACCTATAAATGTATCGTACTTTAATTAGTCTACCCCTCTCATACTCTTACCCCTTTCACCCAACCCTACATTATTCAACAGTTTTCACTAGATTCATTTTTTTTTCATTTTGGAAACCACAGGATAATAACTCATGGATTATAGTTTCTTAGGATTTTTTTCAAAAGCCCATGGAAAGCGTCCCTTTGCCACACCACGCTGAAAAAGCAGGTCGCTATTTCTCCCTGCCAGCTGGCTCCAAAGCTGCCTGTGTGAAACTGCAGAAGGAACAGGTGAGCATCACATACCTTATGCCTTCTCAGGAAAATAATGCAGTGCAGCCCCTGGGCAGACTAAACTCCCTCTACCCAGAAAAATTGAAAAACGTAAGCAGCGAATTGCAATCTAACACCACCAGCAGAGGTGGGGGTAGAATGCTGAACCTGCCCCAGATAACGGGGTGGGGCAAAGAACCAAACTCAGTGCTGAACTCCCAGTGATGTGTGTGTAAACAGCAAAGCCTGACAAGCCAACCTCCCAAATGAGCCACCAGCACCCAGCAGAAATTGGGAGAGACATAAAGGCTGAGAGATGGAGTGACAGATCAACCTCTCAGAGGAGCTGCCAGCACTCAGCAGAGATCAGGAAAAGCACAAAGACTGAGAGTGGGGGTGGGGCAACAGGCCAATCTCCCAAAGCAGGGCAGGAGTTGGA